TGGTAGTAAATACATTTCGTGTTTATTTACCTTTTTTTATTGAGACGTTTCAAGTGCCTGTGAGCACGAACACTCTTCGTGAACATTGCCAGTTTTAATCTGGCGTTTTGAAAATAAATACGATATGTTTTCCAGTAATCACGGCAATGTACCCGGTACTTAGACTTAGTGCACTAACGATTTAAGAATAATTAGCTTCATGTAACTAACCACTCCAGATGTAAAATGCAAGAATGAATCGTGAATCCTATCGTAAGTCATTCACTCGGAGCAATAACCAATGCGCCGAACGACAGTTATGTCTTAAGGGCCGGACACACTAGGCGATTTTAATGCGATTTAATCGGGCAACTTTATCGCTCGATAATATCGCCCGATTCTATCGCGCGAGTCGAGTGGACACATCACGCGATTTAGTCGCGCAACTGAAATAATCGCCCGATAATATCAAAACGTTTTGCTCGATGCGATTGAATCGGGTGACTAAATCGGGCGACTAAATCGGTGGCGACTGACTGGACACATTAGGCAATTTTCACCGGACATTGAGTCGCCCGACAAAATTGCCTAGTGTGTCCGGATCTATAGGAACGGCTTAAACCCAGCCAGTTGCTGATTCACCGGCCTACAGAGTACAGTGCTACACTACAGTGACTACACACAGTCTGTAATACACTACACCACAGGCACTTGAAACGTCTCAATAAAAAAAAGGTAAATAAAAACAATTTAAAGAGATTCTCTTATTCATGTTGTTTGTGCACAGCGCGGGCGTGCGGTGTACTTGCGTGTTGCAGATGAGCATTTGACTGGCATTTACAGGTGATTATAGGCGAAATAGAGTAGAGAAACATTAAGACTTTGGTAGTAAATACATTTCGTGTTTATTTACCTTTTTTATTGAGACGTTCCAAGTGCCTGTGCACTACACAGTGTCAGTAGTCAGTACACAAACTCTACGTACAATGTTACCGACACTGGCGAGGCAATGTATATAAACAACTATAAATGAGGACACATGAGTAACAAATGCAACCATCAACTATTTGCTATAATAAGTGACTATAGACACAGCTTGCATAATATCTCTGCCTGACTTGAAGCATAACTTTCGAGCAAAATTCGAGACAATAAACTTGTTGTGTACATCCGCGCGACCTGTTCCACACATCCGATGACATCGCTAATAGTAATACTAATAGTAATAGCTTGACTGGGAAGTTACGTGCTAAGGGACATGTGAACGCACTGACTGCACTTAATAAGTACTGCTAGTGACACTTACCGAGGTGAATAATCCACTAGTAGTAGTAATGCCAATTCGAAATACGTGACACACAGCCAACGCCGAGTTACTTGTCAGCGTGCTTGACGAGCGTACGAACATATATGAACTAATCGTACAAGCGAAGCGCAGCGCCACCTAGAATCAAAATACTGAAATAACCAGCCCAGCGTAATGTTAGGTCGCCATGTTGAAGCGGTAGCGTTATGTACGATTTAATTCATACCATCTAAAAAATACATGTGCCGTCATCTGCCATTTTACAGTGTGTGAAATAATACTTTCATTCATTCAGTTAATGTGTTCCTGACCACTGCTATTGACCTTGATGGCAATCCCTAAAACGCAAGGCATCCCATGGTGGAGAAAAATAGGAGAAGAAGCTTACGAAGTACAGAAACACATTTGCAAAGAATTAGAAAAAGAAAATGATGATGGAGAAGAAGAAAAAGAAAAAAGGCCCAATTAAAAACAAATATTTTGGTTAGTGAATATTTCGTACCGTTTCACATAACTGCAACAGTCAGTTCTAGTTTCTACCTATATCTGTCTCCCTGTCTATCCATCTAAGGCCCTATTTATCCATCCATCCACCCATCCACCCATCCATCCGTCCATCCATTTATCCATTCATCCATCCATCCATATCCATCCATCCATCCATCCATATCCATCCATCCATCCATTTATCCATCCATCCATCCATCTATCCATGTATCCATCCATCCATCCGCCTATCTATCTATCTATCCATATACCTACCTATACTCCCTCTCACTATTTATCTATCTATGCATACATATATTTTATAATATATATATATATATATACGAGTTATAAATTACTGTTACAAACATGTGAAACACTGAAATCTTTTCGATATTGACTTTTATCGGACGCTCTTCTTCTTATAGCCATTGTGTTCCAATAGGTGGCGCTTCCATGTTAACTCGGTGGTTTCCCCTGTGGTTTCCCTTCGCGCGGAAAACGTGACGCACGTGGTTTCGCACATGATAGAGTTCAGAGCATACAAAATCAGCATAATATGGTTCAGAGCATAATATGGTTCAGAGCATATAAATCACCGTTGTAGCGCTGTTGTATATAATATTTCTATTTCGGAGGTGTGTGTGGGGGGGGGGAATTCCTGCTAAATAAAATCGTGTGTAAAGTCATGTTGCTTGAGAAAATAGAGACCTTGGCTTAGCACTTTTTGCGTTGAGATGTGTCAATCTGCTTCATGCCGACCATTCGTTGAACACATTGTTGTAGTAAAACATTTCAGCTCATGAAAGTGCCTGGTTGCATGCGTGTGTGGCGGTCGCAAGTATTGTACGAAAGCTAGTAGCAGGTTCCCAGAGTCGTAGCCACCGCGGGGGAGTTGGTGGCAGGGGTGTGGCTGCTCTCCTGGGTTTTAGCGAAAAATAAAAAAATGTCTTATATATAACAAATAAAAAAATGGATACAATAAAACAGATAATAAAGCAGTAATAAGTAATATGAGGAAATTATGCCTTCGTCCCATAACACTGCATACTTTTTGCTTACACATGCTTTACTTCTTGAACCCGTAAAACTTATTACTTCGTCATTACCCAGGTGAAGAAATTGCATCCAACCCCCTAAAGTTGATCGGCCTACGGCCATGCACAGCTTGCGGTGAAGCCAGTACACACATAATCATGGAATAAAGGTAACCAGACGGGTCTGTCGCCAGTATTGTCTATACTCGTTCTTCTGTAGCTAGTAAAGGGACTATAGCGACCCAGCCACCGCGGATCGAGAGAGAAAAGCAGTGAACCTTACAAATAATTCATGAATAATTAATCTTAAATAAGAAGCCCCATGTTCGAAAGTATGCGGACTCAACACTTAGCATGACGTACGAATAATTAATGATGAACATTAACAACGATAATCACGTGGATAATTACATTATTTATATGAGCATATTTAATATGCATTCCTGCAGCAACCGTCTGAGCGATAGCCGTGAGTAGGCTATGTATGCAAGTAAGTCTAATCTCTCTGAATGAATGCATATGCCAGTCTGTCATTGACAGGGCGTTTGATCTCCGCTTATCATACGTTTTATATTTATATCTTCTCCTGCACTTAATTATTCTTCCTGCTACACCACATTCATAAATTCATTATAAACGCATTAATTCTGTTAAAATTCATAATTTTCTTTGAAGAATCTCAATCTCATAATAGCCTGTAGCCAAGCGTTGTAACCATGATTCATGATATATAATATATTCACTTAAACGTCACTAGCGCGTATACATAGATCTGTCTCGACAGGGCGCCATTTTCACACGGTTATAATAGAAGATGAATTACTGAAGTAATAAGATGTTGCGGGATAACAGTGCGTGATGCAACATGCAGGACAAATTATAACAAATGACAAGTTCTATACACCCGTCTCTATTATTTACTAAATTACAGAAAGAAAAGCCGGGTGCGTGGGTAAGCCATTATTCGTGATGATGAAGCAGTGATAAACAACTGGCCGCTTTAGAAATCTTGTGTTATTTTAATACTATATGTTTATTTCTGCTTTTGAAAGAAGGTAAGTAATCTTAAACAACGCCTATCATTTATGGCATAAATTCCTAGAGGCATCCCAACACAATAAATAAGACTACGTAGTGTGACCAGGGACCGGTAATGGTTATCACATCGTTTGAACAAATGCGGAAGTTCTTCTGAGAAATGTTACGTCATAAAATGCAATATGTCTAAACTATAAACCATGTGGTGGAAGCTCTACCCAGCATATGCTGCAACCAACTGCTATCCAGACCAGGCAGACCTATAGATGTATATTCTATATAGCACTCTACATAAAGCGATTCTAACGAAGACTAGAGTTCCTCTATGGAGACATAATATACTCAGGGGTGAATAATGACAAAAAAAATTTTGAATAACGACAATTGTTTGTAATTATTCACCCGTGATATATTCCATATAAATACTACATAAAGGCACTCTAACGGGGTCTCCGCGGTCAGCTGCCGCTGGATGTGACTGCCGCTAACACCGTCGCAACGCGACGCAACAGTTCGTCCTTCCAGCGATACACCGTCGCGTCGACGACGGCCGGCGCCGTCTTGACGCAGTCGTGTCCGTCGTACTCGCAGACGCGATAGTGATGCAGCAGAGCGACGCCTTCCTCGACAATGCTGAACTGCCGACCGTCGGCGAACCGCCAAGGTAGATGGTTGCCCATGATCGTAACGTCGGCACCGCGTACGATGCACTTGGAGCGATTTCCGCGCGGCCACGTCTTCTGTGTGCGCTTGGTTTTCGCGAGCGTCGTCAGGTGCAGCGGCAGCGTCGCCGCCGCCGCGTCGTCGGGCCACTCGCTGTAGAAGAACGTGTTTCGGAAGCAGTAGGCACCGACGTAGTAGGCGTCCTCTCTCACGGCCGTGAGCCGCCGCAGCAGCTGCGTGTAGTCGGCGTCGTCGGCGAGGTGGGGCACGATGAACTCGTCGACGTCGACGACGACCTGGTACTCGTAGCGACGCTGATTGCGCAACAGGCAGTCGTTCAACGCCGCGAACATGTTCTCCGTGCGGATCTCCCGCTGCGACTTGATGTCGAGTTGCCATGGCAACACCTCGGCGACGCCGCGCTCGACGTAGTACTGTAGCAGCGCGGTGACGTCGGCGTTCACGCTGTGATTATAGAAGGTGAAGAACTCGGCGCCCATCGTGCGGTGGAACTCGACGAATTCGGCCAGTCGCAGCGTGTCGCCGTAGTTGTAGTGCAGCGGCTTGATGCACACCGAGAAGCGACCGTTACGCGGCGCTGGCGTGTCGGCGTGCTTGTGCACGCGCGCGTAGTTACTCGGCGACGTGTCGTCGGCGTGTGACACGAGCGACACGGCGTTCGGCACGGGGTCGCGCGCGCGTAGGTTGCAGTCGAAGTAAATCGCCGTGTAGTTCATGTTCCAGTGTTCCATGATGAGCACAGAAGTCGCCCGCACGCCGGCCGTCACCGTGTCGTTGTACCACAGCACGCAGTAGAGCACCGGCCGGTGGCGGAACGAGGCGACGCCGACGACGGTCACACGGCGTTGTCCCCTCGTGTCGTAGTAAGCCGAAAACAGTCTCGTTTTGAACTGAGTGCCGTTGACTGGCTGCCAGAAATCCGTGACTCGGTTGGTGGGGTCCGGTTTTTTGTAGTTTTTGATGGGAGCATGAACGGGATGCCTAGCGATCGCCACTTTCACCGTAGCATTTCTCACACGGGCGGGTGGCAGTCGTGGGTGCAGTTCCTGCTGCTTCACGCGCACTACTGTGGCGTGCGTTGTCGTTTTCTCGGACTCGACGGAATCGAGCGAAGAGAAGCGCCTCGCGACGATCATCAGTAAAAGACAGGCGACCATTAATGGCGCAATGCCACGAATATGGCGGCGTATGAACCTATGCATGGCGCACGAGCAGGTCACAGGGATCACTGTGTCCTAAGAGCGAGACGATCTGAAAAGAAAAGAAAAGAAATTCACTATCGGTGGCAAAACATAGTGACACGTTTATTTGTGAGTTGTGGCGTAAGACGTGGATGTTATACTAACAGCTAGTTCTATAGTTAATTGGAGATCTGGGATCTGGGAACTGCCCGCAAGAATGACTAGCGGTTCGGCGGGATTGTAGAAGCAATTGCAGTCATATAAATGGCCAAACGATGCATGAGCGGCTGCCATCGCTATTTCCCTGATGAGTTGGCGGGATGCGTACGGAGATTGTTCGTAATTTCTGACGGCCAATGACGTCACGAGGCGTCTGAGAGCACCCTGCGTTGCATGACAACGCGTAACGACACCCTCACCGCTTTCACTCATATATTACGTGTATGCAATAACTACGTGTATTGACCTTTGATCTGGTGGTTTCACCTGGTGCATGGCGCCTTAACAAGCATTCCGACCTTTATAGGCCCACTTGGCCATGCAGAGCTATACCAGAGGCGACATTACTCTTAATTGTTCCTTCTAAAACTTATAATACACTATACTTGTTAGTTTCAAACATGTTAATCAGCATCGACAAAGACCTTCAGAACTATAGTTTCAAACATATATCATGACAGCGTATTTCATTGCCAGTGGAAGCACGCATGTGCAAATTAATTGTAACCTATGTGGAACCCGACAAAATGGAGCTGGGTTGGGGTGGGGTAGGGATGTTGCGAGGCATCCGTTTGTATGTATCTGTAGACCATCTCTTCAGTGAGATACCAGCTTGTTATTGTCGTTCTAGTAATGCACACATGTTCCATTTACATTATATCATCCTGTGGATACTAGAGTAATAGGTGCGAAGCAATAGAAATGCAACCGATCCACCCCTGAATGTATTGGATATCCTATTGCAAACGTATAAAGGACATTTTTTATTTGTTACTTGAACAGGTGGCATGAAGACAAGAGCATATCGAACGATTTATACGAAACACAACGGTGACCAAATTTTCGCGCCAGGGTTATTTTGGACAAAGCCCAATTGTTGAGCACTACTGCTGATGAAAACTGGTTTTCAAAATAACATGCGCTGGCTGACGCAGTTTCTTGTAGGATATAAAAGTTTAGGTGCCATATTTGTAACCGAAGCTGGCTGTATATGAGGTGAGGGGAACAAGAGAACACGAACGTGTTATATATAATGTATACCCACGCATGCACACACGCTCGCACACACGCTCGGACGCACGCACGCACGGACGCATGGACGCACGCACGCACCGACGCACACACGCACTTATATTACATCGTACATTACATTACATTACATCACACACGCGTATATATATATAATATATATTACCATGAAACGAGATAAGGTCAAGATACTCCCGGGCAATTACCCACCCCCCCACGTCCCGAATATCGTGACCGTACGTAGAGCGGTTAAGATTTGTGCCCAACTGTTGACGCACGAACAGACGCACGCACGCTCATGCGATTCCAAAATAGTTAAATGGATAAAGATAGAAAAATACAGAAAACAGGTAAATAATCTAAAATCTGAACCATGGGATTCGATCCAAGGACCTTTGAGCCGTGACGCCTGTGCTGTAACCATCGGCTATCCAGGCTTATTGGCTTTCTAGATTATTGATGTGCCATGAATATGAGAACACTGTAACATCATTGAGGCAGTTCAGGAATCCATGTTTAACCCTCCTCTTGAGGGTCAAAAGGTTATCAGACACTTACTCTTCGCACGTCAGTGGAACGCACATTTCATGGTCCTTTCAATAAAGTGATAAAAATGGTAGGTCAGCGCTGAAACAAAAAAGTCTGATATGTCTGATATCTGACCTTTCCCCCACTGCCCTTTGACCTGTGACCTCCAATTTCGCACTGGTGATGGGTTTCCTGCCCATCACACTATACACCAAATATTAAGAGCAGAGGTCGAGCCGTTCAGATTTGTGCCGCAATTCCGTATTTCCTCCTATACCTTAAGTTAAGGGGGAAATATTCCCCCTCCGTTTACACATTTTGACCTTTGACCCTTGACCCCCAAATTGATCATCCTGAGTCCTTTTCACGGTCCCCCCCACCCACGTCCCGAATATCGTGACCATACGTCTAGCGGTTAAGATTTGTGCCCAACTGTTGACGGACGCACGGACGGACGGCCGGACAATCATGCGATTCTACAAGCTGCATCTGACTTCGTCAGATGAGCTAATAAATACGAAATCTATTTACTACCAAAGTCTTAATGTTTCTCTACTCTCGTTCCCCTATTATTGCCGACAATTTGCTGTAAATGTCGCCATATATAGTACAGTAGTATTAACTATTACACTATATATTTATGTGTCATTGTGCAGCAGCTAGCGTGCGGTGTACTTGTGTGTTGCAGATGAGAGATGGAACATTTGCCCGGCATTTACCAGGTGATTATAAGGCGAAATAGAGTAGAGAAAGCATTAAGAACTTTTGTAGTAAATATCATTTCGTGTTTATTACCCCCTTTTTATTGAGAGCAAGTCGTTTCAAGTGAGGCCTGTGAGCAGCGAAACTCACTTCGTGAAACACATTGGCCAGTTTTAATCTGGCGTTTTGAAGATAGAATGACGCATTATTGTTTCCCAGTAATTTCCACGGGCAAATGGTTAGCGAGCAGGTATCTTGGCTAGACTTTAGTCGGGCACTACGGAATTTTGAAGATAATACATTAGCTTCATGTAACTAACGCACTCGCATTGATGTAAAATGGCAAGAATGAATCGTGAATGCCTATCGTAAGTATTCACGAGATACGGAGCAATAACCAATGCGCCGAACCGAGCAAGTTCAGTGTCTATAAGGTGCCGGACATCACTAGTGCGATTTTGAATGGCGAAGTTTAATCGGCGCAACTTGTATCGCCGAGATATCCCTCCGACTTCGATCGCCGAGTCGAGTGGACACCATGCACGCTGATTTTAGTCGCGCAAACCTGAAATAAGTGCGCGCCGATAATATCAAGAACGTTTGCTGATGCCGTAATGAATCGGGTGACTAAATGGGCGGGCGGACTACAATCGTGGGGCGACTGACTGGACACATTTAGCAATTTTCACCCGGATCATCTGAAGTCCCCCTCCAGACAAAATTGCCTATATGCTGTGTCCGGATCTATAAGGAACGGCTTAAACCGCAGGCCAAGTGCGATTCACCGGCCTAGCAGAGTACAGTGGCTATCGACTAGCGTGACTACACACAGTCCTGCTAATAGCACTACAACGCAGCAGGCGACTTGAAAACGTCTCAAGTAAAAAAAAGTAATATAAAACCAATTTAAAGAGATTACTCTTAATTACAGTGTTGTTGTGCTGCACCCAGCGCGGTAAGCGTGCGGTGTTACGTGCTGCTGTTGCAGATCGAGCATATTGACTGGCATTTACTGCAGGTGAATTAATAGGCGAAAATAGTCGAGTAAAGAAACGAGTTAAGAGCTTTAGGTCAGTAAACGTACATTTCGTGTTTCAGTTTAGCCGTTTTTTATGCAGACGTTGCCAAGTGCAGATGCACTAACTACCACAGTGTCAGGTAGTCAGTACACAAACATCTTACGTAACAATGTTACCACGGACAGCTGCGAGGCATCATGTATGATAAACAACAGATATAAAATGTAAGGACACACCGAGTAACGAAATGCAACCGAATACGGCAACCATGATTTTGCTATACGATAAGTGACTAACGACAGACAGCTGTGCATAAAATATCGTCTGCCGTGAACTTGAAAGCAATAACTTTATGCGAGCAAAAAATTCGTAAGACTAAGTAAATCTGTATGTGTACACCGCGCGACCACGACCTGTTCCACCACATGCCGACTGACATCGCTAATTGGTACTAATACGGTAATAGCTTGACTGGGGAAGTTACGGTGGCTAAGGACATGTGAACGCACTGACGTGCACGTTAATAAGTACTGTGCGTAGTGACAGCTACCGAGGTGATAATCCACTAGTGAGTAGTAATGGCCAATTGCGAAATACGTGACCACACAGGCAAACGCCGAGTACTTGTCAGCGTGCTTGGACGACGCGTACGAACATATATGAACGGGCACATCTGATATGACTAATGCGGTAGCAAGGAAGGCGCGAAGCGCACCCTAGGAATCAAAATACAGCAATAACGCACCCAGGCCCGTATGGTTAGGTCCCCGATGTTATGAAGCGGTCACGCGTTGAGTGTATCGTGATTGTTAATTTCATACAATGCTAAAAAACATACATGTGTGCCGTCATCTGGGCCATTTTAACAGTGTAGTGAAATAATGACTTTCCATATGCATTCAGGTTATATGTGTGTTTACGCTGACCACTGCTATTGACGCTTGATGGCAATTCCCTAAAAAACGCAAGGCCAACCATGGTG